TATTTAGTGATCTATTGAACAAATTACTTCTTTCAATTATTTAATCTTTTTATATAAGGTTTTGGCTGAAATGAAAAAGTTAGTGTCACGAGTGGGATTCGAACCCACGACCTTCGGCTAAATGCGCCGCTGCTATACCATTTGAGCTTTCGTGAATCGATCCACTCGGACACCAACTCCCCATCTCAACCTGGCCAAAAATAGCAAAAAGAGGGAAAATTCGAAAGGTTGTAGGTTGAGATGGGGAGTTGGTGTCCGAGTGGATCGAAGTCACGATAGCTCAAGTGGTAGAGCAGCGGCGTATCTAGCCGAAGATCGTGGGTTCGAATCCCGCTCGTGCCATTGACTTTTTTATCTCAACTAAAAACCTTAATTTATTGTAATATATTAATTGGTCTAGTGGACCACGAAATTAGTGAATGTAATGAATTAAAATGAAGTATACTTCACTAAAGCTCTCCGTGGCCATTTCATTTGTCGCGAGAATCTACCTTTATTCGGGTCATCTTCGGAGCCTGAGTGAATTGCAAAACATAAGTCTGTCAGCATGTGGTTTATGTTGTTGAAAAAATTATAACATAAAAGATCAATAGTAATATCTAAATTTCAATTAATTATTCTTTTTATGTAAGGTGTCAAGTAAGTGTCAAGAGCGGGATTCGAACCCACGACCTTTGGCTCAATACGCCACTGCTCTAACCACTTTGATCTATCGTATTGATATACTAACGGCTACCATCACTGGGTTCATGTTTTCATGCTACTGTTATTATTGTTTATATGTAAATATTATATGTTTTACATGTTGCGTCGAAGAATGTAGTTTAAAAAAAATAATAAAATAAAATATATTACTAGCGTATAGGCAGATCACAAACTGCCATCGGAAATCCTACAAATGTTTTGTGGTACAAGTTTTACCGGATATTAACTATGTTTCTTTGTCGTTTTAAAAATAAATAAATTATAGGAGAAAGGATTGAAGAAATTCAAAGTGACAATGCGACAAAATCGAGAGAGAGGTCCATTTCCTGAAGCGAGGACCGATCGGAAAATTTGTGAAAGTGACTCGAGAGTGTAATTTTGATACGACTATTATCAAAACGATGATAGCCCTTGACAAAAGTGTAAAGCTGAGATGTTTTATTAAATAACAGGGATTTCGTGCGTGAGATATTACTTTTCCTTCCGGCTTAACACAACCGGGATAATATAAACACTAGAAAAATAAACAACACAAATTAATTTAAATTCATCTCGGCTAAAAAATTTCTATTGATTAAAGAAATCTACGAGATGAAAATAAAATGATAATTTTGGTCTCACATTAATTTGTGTTAATATATTTATTCACATTTTGGAAAATTTGTACTTAACATCGACGATGGTTTATATAAATTATAAAAACAAGATCCAAATTGATTTTATTTTTTAATACTAAGGTTCGCAGCAGTAGAGGTTATATCAACCCTCGGGATGACGGTGTTTCGGCCGCTGGATTCGAACCCGGGACCTTTACCTTACAGTGAAGAGCGCCGCCCTGACTACGCCTAAACAGGATGATAGGAAATAGCCTTGTTAAATTGATTGTTTATTAAATTTTTTGATTAATTACTTAAAAATATCCAATATACTGTAAAAAATATATTAATACGACCTATTAAGCCGTCCAAAGTTCCACAAAAATTTATTTGGTTTTTAATTGTGTTGAAACGAGATGAATCTCCTTGCGTCAATATCAAAAAACATTATTTTATGAGCGAAAAAATTGTAATCCGTAATGATAAATAAAATTATGTTTGTAAATATTTCAATGAAAATCGGTTTCTTTTCTTTAAAGGTTCCTATTCACCCATAGACATCGAAAAATTAAAGAACTCCAATATTTTTTCTCTAAGAAATGCATTTCAGGGTAATTCCAATAACCCATCTTGAGCTACTAACATAGGTGGCTTAGGTGGCTCTCGGAGAACTCAGGCTCACGCGATTAAGAATAAGCCATGCAAGGTTGACGGACACTTTGATCATTTTTGTATTGATTAATTCTATATTTTAAAAATTGCATTGCTTTCCTACATATATTTTTCCACGCCACATTTTACATACAAGTTTTTATTTTAAAATGGCAATTAGCATATTTTCTATGCAATAATATATTGGTCGGAGTCGACAAGATGGCCCACTGAGAACCTGAGCCGGGAACGAAGAATCGTCCTTACCCGATTAAGAATAGGTCGTACGCGGTTTCACTCGGGTACTTGCTTGCCAAAGCCGCGCAGGTGCCCCTTATGCATAGAAAGGTTGCTCGATGCCACATAATGTCTCCTAACAAAGAGCGTATAGGCGTGCTCCGGATTTAAGAATTATCTCGGGCGCAGTAACGAGTTTCTGGGTTCCCTGTTCCGTTTTATGGAGGAAGTTATCTTTTTGGGTTTTATTTATTAATGTGAGAGCTGAGAGGCGAAAATACCGTCATACTGCGTGTCTTTAGGATAATGGCGGAATATTTTTAAAAGCACCCCATCGACCCTAATTACGGTTAGATTATTCTTATTAGTACATAGGTGTGAATGTATTTATTTGTGTGACCGTAATATAAATGACTAGATAATATTTTTCATGAGTTGGAGATCGAGAAGGGGCAATCTCTTGGGCACCCGGCTTAAGGGAGATACTAGCGACCCAGCCACATAACAGGGTAGGTGAACTCCCTGATGTATAGACCCTAGGGTCAGCACATCGTGAAGTGACAACCCTTCGGGGTGAAAGTCCAGTAATAATATATTAGTATTCTTTCATTTACAATTACTTCTTTAAACATTTTATTTTTCTTTCTGTCAACCCTTCTACATATACATTCATCAATATTACACAAAAAACTCTTATTTAATTTAAATCGTTAGCTGTGAATATACTAAATGTATATTTTACATTTATAAAACTATGTTTTCAACATTTTTGGCAGATTTAAAATAAAACCTAATTAATCGAATCTGAACTATTTGTCTTTAAAAGGAGCCAAATTATCTCCTAGACCCCGACGGTGATGACAAGTGAAAGTTCAATGGTAAATAAATTTTCGCACTAAATAGTTGAATTTTTGATAAAGATTAAGGTGGGTTTTTTTTATGCCTTTCACAGCACCTTTAAGGGAAAAAATTAGATTTATTTTGGCATACCTTCCGCAAGGGAATTGGATCAAAGGAGATGAAAATTCGACCTACGCTCCAAAAACACTCGTTTACCTTATTTTTAGTACAATATTTTTTTTTAAAACAAAAATGATCATTTCTTGTAAATTGGCTAAAAATGGCATGGCATTTGAAACGCAGTATATTAAACAGCCAGACGATGAGAAAATCAAATTTGTTCCATGTAAACTTTACATTTTTACAAATATCAATTATAATGTTTCATGTTTAATATAAATTAAACAAACATTTTATAAGTGAAAGACAGTTCATAAAGGGCTAAAATTTAAAAATAAATTAAGTTCTCAACAGCTAATAGTTGTCATAATTTTTATCTCAACGAAAACCATAATTAAAGATTAATTAATTGCAAAGAACCTATTTGGTCAAGCGGACCACAAACCTAATAAAAGTTGTCATAATGTTTAATTACATGAATATAGTTCTTTCGACTGCACATACAGGGTGTTCGGCTATTTGTGTTGCAAATTTTGCCTGTAGATTGTACATTCAAAATGGAACCAAAAATTACTAATTAACTATGGTCCAAATCTCAGCAGTTTTCCACGTTTACTGATTTTTCAAGATTTCACGACCTTGCTTCAAATAAACAATGATAACCACAACTAAAAGGTTTTGAACAAATCCACACCAAAAAACTACGTTAAATTTCTAATAAGATGTGATCAATATTAAACTTGTAAATGTTAGAGAAATAAGCATTTCAGTAGAGAGAACTTTGAATTTTTTTTTAAATTGAAAAACTTACTATGGTGATTCTAAACTACTATTTCCAAACCTAGAGACCAGCAAATTTCAGAAAACGTACTCCATTTAATATCCTTTTTAGTGGTGTCATTTCTTTTTTTAATTACTTTTTCAAAAGTGAAGAAATTGTTGGAGTAAAGGAAAAAACCGTGGCTGACAGATTGGTAAGGTGGAAAATTTAAAAAAAAACTTAAGGAAATTTTGAATGAATTTATTTTTTTTCGAGAGCATTTCGTATAAAATTTAAAAAAGTATAATAAATTCATTCAAAATCTCCTTAAGTTTTTTATTTTTTATTATTATTAATCCTTACCAATCCTTCAACCACGGTTTTTTCCTTTCCTTCGTCAATTTTTTCATCTTCGAAAAAAGTAATTAATTGCACCGCTAAAAAGGATATTAAATGGAGTACGTTTTCTGAAATTTGCTTGTCTCTAGGTTTGGAAATAGTTTAGAATCTCCATAGTCAGTTTTTCAACTCTGAATTTGTTTTAATATTCTGGCTACAAAACACTTATTTCACCAACCTTAATTATTTTAGTATTGATTACATCTTATTGGAAATTTAACGTAGTTTTCAATGGTGTCAATGGATTTGTCCAAAACCTTTTAGTTTTGGAGTTATCATTGTTTATTTGAAGCAAGGTCGTGAAATCTTAAAAAATCAGAAAAAGTTAAATAACTCCGAAACTGCTAAAATTCGTACCATAGTTAATTAGGACGTTTTGGTTCCATTTTGAATGTAGAATCTACTGGCAAAGTTTGTAACACGAGTAGCTGAACAACTGTATAAAATGAATATAAAATAAATTCCCAATTAACATAAAAATGTTGAACAGAAAGCAATTTTCAAATAAAAATAAAAAGTCGAATGCTGAGCATGTGATCTTTCATTAGAGCAGGGTCAGTAGGACGATTGTAAAGATGCGTTAAAAACCAATTCCGTTCGGCACTGTATATATTATAATATATTAATAATTTGTACTTGCCATAAATTTCACTAAATCAAAAAAATGTATGTAAAAATAAAAACTTGCACACCTTGTATTTTGATTTTCTTTGTCTTCCATCCTCGGGCTGTACGTTCTGGGTGCCTTCTGTTTTTCAATTTTCCAAAAAACACTTCACTTATTTTTTTTCCGGTTTACGTTTACCACATCACTCACACGGTGGCCGATGGCCGGAGGTCGATTTCGTCCGATGTTTCCCCCCTCGAGATCAGTCATGAACTGGCGGCCTTATCAGAACCGGACTCGGTCCCCGAGCTCCAACCTGTGGATTTCCGACCGTGGCTCCATCGTACGGACCCACGCAGTCACTCCTGCTTCCTCCACCATCTCAAAGAATGCGTTCTTCGGAACTGCCAATTCAATTGAATTTCAATTTTTTAAGTCCTTTCGTAAATTTGATACTTTTAAACGCCATACAGAATACTAAACTAATACTAGAAAGCATACTTAAGCTGTATATCAACCACAAATCACAAAATTCGGCACACTGACTTCTGGCTTACTAGTGATGCTCCTTTGTGCATAAATTGAAACTATTTCGGACCATTAAACAAACGTTTGTTTAAATGCTCTAATTTTAGAACTTGACTTAAATAGGACCTTCTAAGCTCACAATGAAGAAAAAATACAATATACAAATGTAGACTACCAGGGAAAAAATAAAAAATGCAAAGCAATCCGGGATAGTGCCCGCTGCATTATTTGTAAAGGGGATACTACCAAGGAGAGACCAATTTAGGATTCCAATTTAGATAGGTAGAGCCTGAGATTGTATTAAGTATAAAAGTCCCTTTTCCAGAACCAAAATTGTGTGTGTGTGTGTGTGTGTGTGTGTGTGTGTGTGTGTGTGTGTGTGTGTGTGTGTGTGTGTGTGTGTGTGTGTGTGTGTTAGATGGAATTAATTAAAAGTATTTATCTTTCGCCTTACCAATCCGTCAACCACGATTTTTTCCTTTTCTTCATCAATTTCTTCATCTTTGTAGAAAGTAATTAAGAAAGCAATTACACCACTAAAAAGGATATTAAATGGAGTACATTTTCTGAAATTTGATGGTCTCTAGGTTAGGAAATAGTAGTTTAGAATCACTATAGTAAGTTTTTCAACATGGAAAAAAAATTATTTATCAGAGTTCTGGCTACTAAAACGCTTATTTTCCCATCATTTAGTATTTATGACATCTTATTGGAAATTTAACCTAGTTTTCAATAGTATCAACGGATTTGTCTAAAACCTTTTAATTTTAAAGTTATCATAGTTTATTTGAAGCAAGGTTGTGAAATGTTAAAAAATCGGAAAAAGTGGAATAACTCCGAAACTGCTGAGGTTCGGACCAAAGTCAATTAGGACTTTTTGGGTCTATTTTGAATGCGGGCAAAATTTGCAACACAAGTAGCCTAACACCCTGTATGGTGTCGTATTTGAAATAGCTCAAGTGCTCAAGGTGTGCCGCGCTCTACCATCCACGATGATTTACGGTGGTTTATGGCCACCGAAGAGAAGGTATTGGGCGACCGCGATGTACGACGCAAAGAGATGATCATATTATTTTCTTACCGCACTACAGAACCGTCATTTAATGGCCTCATTGATAGTTGGTCAATTCCAAACGGTTTATAAAGTAAGGGTTGAGTTCTAAAACACTCATCAGAAGGCCTGTGAGATAGCCTCGTCTCTAGACTATCCTTATCACGTTCTCTACTATTAGACCGGTATCGAGTAAAAAATAGCCAAATCAGTATCTAGTTTGGACACTTGAACACTTGGAACTTGATGTTTTATTTCATAGATGAATGCCGGTTTGTTGTTGGCAATCTGATGAAGTAGAAGACGTACAGAACGCTTCACTTCATATGCCATGCGTAAGTTACAGCATTTTCAAAGACATCTGTCATGGTATAGGGTGGAATCGGCATCCATGCCCCTACCCGGATTGTCGTACAGAATGGATACTTCACTAAAGTATATTAAAGAAGTTCTTCTAGAAGCTGAGGTCCCTTTAGCTCCATTTATTGGGGACAATCTTGTATATTATTTTCGACCGCATTTAGCTTGAATTGTCATACATTATTAGAGGAAGTTACCGCAATGAATTGTCGAGGATGTTGTCCTGACATGAGTCCCATAGAACATTTTTGCGTCAGCGTAAAAATAGCAATATTTTGTACTGTATCCCAAATCAGATCTGAAATACTCATTATAAATATGCGCGAAAGTGATTTTTTTCCCGGTCACATTAAACTATGTGCTGGCACTATACCCGGAGAACACAATGACTAAATATGATTAATGATAACATATTATATTTTGCATTTAGAAATATTATTTTATTTTAGGGGATGGTAGAGAAGTTTTGACGTCCTAATGGTATTGTCACGCAAGCGGTCCTCGGTTCGAATCCCAGCATAACCAATGGATTTTGAATTGTGCATAACATGGAGAAATTAGTGTAAAGTTTGACCCCTTATGTGCGACAGCCAACGGATACTTGACCCTTAAATCCTTGTGCAAAACAGGAATTACTTATTTACTTTAGATAACTTCTTAGACGTAGCACAGGCCTTCGACAGGGTCTAGCATCTAGGCGTACTTTTTACACTTAGCGCTATTTACCCTCTCATTATTACCTTTTATTGAAATTCTACCTACCTGATCGCAGTTTCAGAGTGAAGTGCGGCAATGAATTCTCGAAAGTCAAACAGACACAGGCCGGTGTACCGCAAGGTAGTATCCTTGGTCCTATCCTATATATCATTTATACTGCTAACCTACCAATACCTCTTGACACTATAATCACCACCTACGCAGACGACACCGCAGTCCTATACTCTAACTCGAATCCTGTCCAAGCTACCTCCAACATCCAGGAACACCTTGAGCTTATCGAAGACTGGTGTAAAAAAGTTTATGACAAGACTGAACGAAGAAAAATGCACTCATTGTACTTTTACGCTGAAAAAGCAGTCTTGCCCTCTTTTGCACATGAACAACAAAGATATGCCAGTTTCCACTGATGTCAAATACCTGGGACTATATCTCGAAAGCAGACTGACGTGGAATCCCCAACAAGACAGAAAAAAAACCACAACTTCATACAAGACTTCTAAGACCGAAATCGACTTTGACAATTAAGACAAAGCTAACACTTTACCAAGACCAATATGGACATACGGAGTGGAACTGTGGGGCACTGCCAAGCCTTCCAATGTCCAGCGTACCCAGTCCTTAGACAAATTGTCAAAGGACCTTATTATGTCACTAACCTCACTATCCACAAAGCCTCAACATTCCTTTTGCCAACTACCTAATCCGGTCCAGATTCCAAATCTTCCACACCAACATTTCGAACCATCCTGACCATACCGCTCTACCCTTCTCCACTCATTCCCATCCTGACAACCCACCTCCTCGCCACAACCGACGGTGGCGTCGGGATCTCCTTGACCGCTAATCATACACACTGAGTACCAGGCTCCTCAAAGCATGTGTTCTACCGATGCAGTGCTGACATTAGTGCTCATGTGTACATATTTGTATAGTAGACTATCATGTATAGATAACAAATAAATTAAATTTTTTTTAAACTTTATTTTTGTATGCCAATTTCTGAAGGTGAAAGTTGTTTTATTTATTTTTTTCGTTAATGTTTTCTTTTCTTATTTAAATGAACCTAAAACTAAACCGAGTAAAATGGCAACATGTAGTACGGTTGTAATCGGCTGAAATACAAGGAACAACTCCATACTGGAAAATAATAAGCAAAAAGTGGAAATGAAGGACATGATTTTTTTAACATACATGGAAATTACATAGATAAGCGATACAACCGTCCAGAATCGGTTTTAATCAACCGTGAAATGCCAAGTTCGGAATAAAAAAAACCCTAGGAAAATGGTACTTTTCATTTCAGATAGCTAGAAAGCTATATTCAAGGCAACTGGGACATGAAAGAATGACCAGGATAAGCAGTCAACATCAAAAAAAGTCGTGTAGAAGATAAAAAGAACCGTAAAAATGGGTCATCGTTAGCAAAACGGCTATAAAATGATATCGTACTATTAAACCGTTAATGAAAACTTAATTTTTGTATATTGATAATAAAAAAGTTTAAGTCAAAATTATATAGATAAGAATTATACTTCCATGAGATACCGTACGGCATAGTTTTTCCAATCTTCTGCCGGAAGTCCAGGTCTGGAATTGATTTGATTTATTTTATTTTTAGTATTAAATGGTAATCAATGGTGGTCAAGAGGTTTTTGGGACATTAACATGTTCTATAAAAAATCGTGAATATTGAAATTATGAGCGACGTACGAAAGTAGCTCATTGTCACTTGTTTTTATATTGGGTTGTCCGGAAAATAATGCAGGATTTTAAGTTTTCATTAAAAAAAATCTATATAAAATATTCTGTTTACGTTTACAGGATTACTCATTTGTATGAATGTCAACACTTATTAATCCTCTTCCAAATGATATTGTTTGTTTACCTCTGTAGCATTCCGCTACTTGGAAATAATTCAGTCATCCTTATAATGTCAAAGCGAGAATTTCGTACGATTTTCTTTTACGAGTTTAAACTCGGCCGAAGCGGAGCCCAAACGGCTAGAAACATTAACCAAGTCTGGGGCGAGGGTTGTGTTAATGAGTGCACTGTGCAAAGGTGGTTTAAAAAATTTCGGGAGGGAGATTTCAGCCTTGAAGATAAAGAAGGTCGTGGAAGGCCTTCCTCTCTTAATGATGATGTTCTGCGATCAGTGGTGGAAGAAAACCCCAAAACAACTGTTCGAGAACTTGCAGAGCAACTCAAAGTCAGTAAAACGACCGTCGCTGACCACCTCAAGGCGATTGGAAAAGTGAAAAAACTCGAAAATTGGGTTCCACACTCATTAAACGATCGCCAAAAAATCAGCGCTTTGATGTTTGTGCATCACTTCTTTGTCGAAACAAAAATGACCCATTTCTGGCCAGAATTGTTACATGTGACGAAAAGTGGATTCTCTACGATAACACTAGACGTTCTGGACAGTGGCTCGACAAAGGAGAAGCTCCAAAGCCCCCAACTCATCAAAAAAAGGTAATGGTTACGGTATGGTGGGCTTCATTTGGTTTAATACACTACAGCTTCTTAAATCCTGGCGAAACCATCAATGCTGAATCATACTGTAACCAAATTAATACCATGCATCAGAAATTGGCAGTAATGAAGCCCTCTTTGGTCAATCGGAAAGGGCCCATTTTGTTGCATGACAACGCTCGACCACATGTGTCACGTGTAACGTCACAAAAATTATTGGAGCTTGGCTATGAAACTTTGCCTCACCCACCCTACTCTCCGGACCTCTCGCCTACTGACTACCATTTTTTTAGACACCTGGACCACTACTTACAACACATAATATTCAAAAATCAAACGGAACTGGAAAATGCATTTATTGACTTTATCAATTCTAAAAATTCTGAATTCTACTCAGACGGAATTAATAAGTTACCAACACGTTGGGAGAAATGTATTGAGAGTATGGGAAATTATTTTGATTAAAGAACATTGCTTTAAAGTAACTAGTTTCTTTTTTTTTGTTTAATACCAAAATCCTGCATTATTTTCCGGACAACCCAATACATCCCTCCTTCCAGCTATGTCCAAAGGATTTTCTGGTGCCATCGTGACATTTGAAATTCAGTGGCAAATTCTTGTTTCAAAGTCAAACACATTTTATTTAATTGTCACCTTTTACTAGAAAATCACATTATGTTTCTGAATGCTGAATGCTTTAAAACCAGTTTGAGTCGTGTTAAAATTTATATATTAAATCAAACGTGATAATGGAAACGCTATTGTCGAATATATTTTTTAATCTTTTTATATAAGGTTTTGGTTGAAATGAAAAAAACTAGTAGAAATGATAAATGATGGAGTGAGCGTGGTGTTTAATCCTTTTTAAAAAGATAGTTCCCACTCACAGTAAGTTGTTTTGCAACGATCCGGATTTCGAGCACTTTAGCTCATCATCAGGTTGTAGAAGACGTTCAACCTGATGATGAGCTAAGGGGCTCGAAATCCGGATCGTAAGAAAAAACAAATTACTGTGAGTGGGAACTATCTTTTTAAAAACGATTGAAAAAACTAGTGCCACGAGCGGGATTCGAACCCACGACCTTCGGCGAAATAGGAAGGTCTCTGCTCTATCTCGTGTCACGATAGCTCAAGTGGTAGAGCAGCGGCGTATTTGGCCGAAGGTCGTGGGTTCGAATCCCGCTCGTGGCACTTTTTTTTTGTCATTTCAACCAAAACCTTACATAAAAAGATTAATTAATTGAAAGAACTAATTTGGTCAATAGATCACTTAATATAAAGCATTTTATATTTTTTAAGTTCAAATTCGGACGTTTTCCTACTCAAGCTGAACGAAATTTAACCAACGTTTCTTTGAAGGTGCACACAACCTGCAGCACATCTCGATATGAGTGACAACAGTTAAAATAAATATGTAAAGTTAAAAAGCCCAATACGCGTGTCTCGCATGACCAGCAATACGAATTATTTTTTTCCTTGCACGTCAAAAATAAGGTGCATGATAACATACGATCAAAAATAGTTCATGCATGACAATTGTCGTGATCAGGTCATTGGTTATATGCCAATCAGGAAAAATTATATTCCATTGCGTCAAATGTGACATCAATACTGTGTCATATTACAATTCTTGTAACTCATTTGGGACAATTCGTACAAAAATACTATAGCTAATTTTTAAAAAACTTTAAGACCGAATATTTTATCTGTAACCTGGGTACTTAGAAATCTTTGGACAATTTGTCTTGCTAAATGAAATAAGAAAATAACGATATGAGTAACTGGCGTTCTTTTCACGGAAAAAGAAAATTTCTATGCATATATGGACGATATGTCCCAATTTCGAAAGAACTTTACTTACTACTTTACTTACTAACATTCATTTAATTAAGGTTTTTAAGTTGAGATAAAAAAGTTAGTGTCACGAGCGGGATTCGAACACACGACCTTCGGCGTGATACGCCGCTTATCTATGATGATACACTTGAGCTATCGTGACTTCGATCCCCTCGGGCACTAACTTCCCATCTTAACGCCACCTTTTGAATTTTCCCTCCTTTGGCAATGGCAAAAAGGAGGGAAAATTCAAAAGGTGGGGTGAGATGGGAAGTTAGTGCCCGAGGGGATCGAAGCCACGATAGCTCAAGTGGTAGAGTAGCGGCGTATCAAGCCGAAGGTCGTGGGTTCGAATCCCGCTCGTGACATTGACTTTTTATCTCAACTTAAAAAACTTAAATAATTGAATGTTATTAATTGGTCAAACGGACCACGAAAAACAGTGAATTTACTTACTAACTTTACTAAGCTACGAACATGGGATCATCGCATTTAATGAAACTACCAGCCGAAAAATTGTAGACACGTGTCGGAAAATCCAATTGAAAACCCAAGTAGGAGATTTTATCTTTGCTTCATTTACTTCTAATCCTTTAAAAGGGACCAAATGTTGTTATAAGATAGTCAATGAAGGATTATCACAGATATTAAAAATGTTCAGGGTGGTCACTTTTTTTGCCCTCAGTGTTTTTAAGTACCCTGCCTGTTAGTAGAAGAATTACAGAAGTTTTGTGTACAGAAGTAGTTCAATCTTGTGTGATGTAAGTTTGAGGATTTGTGAAATAATTTATATTTAAACATAAGAAGACAATTTAAAAATAATTATTTTAAATTTTACACTTTAAATCCTTGTATAGAATTTTTGTGTTGTATCTTTTGGGTTTATTTAATTGACATTTTTGAGGGATTTTTTAAACTGCTCAAAAATGTAATTTATTATTTGTCTATAAATTTTAATTAATTAACCGATAGCTCTTGCAGGTTGGATAAAACAAAATAGAAAATACAAGCCGAAAACAAACAAATGTTAATCCTCATTTTTAATAATGGATTTACTTAAGAATAGTAAACATGAGGATTACTCATTTTGTAAACAAACACCTTTTATCGCATTTTCTCCATTTTAATCCAGTTGTTTCTCTTTAACCACGGAAAGATATCACCTTGAACCGGAGGTTTGCAATATTATTGTGAGAATGAGTCATCGAGGTCATCGGCAAGTGGATATCGCAGAGGCAGTTGGCGTTTCTAAGAGCGTTGTCTCCCTGGCTTTAGTGTTTAGCAATAGGAGGCCTGGTAGTGGATCTCAGCGCATACGACGCTAAAGGAGGACAGAAATATTAACATTGCTCCAAGATGGACTCCTTTCCATATGCCTGCCAGATCCTAATTGAAGTAGAAGACGTTTTGGCAAGGCTTACATCACCTTTTATTACGAATCGTTTGTGGTAGGTTGGCCTCACATCGTATGCCCTTTAAGATGGCCTGCAGCAACAGCCCGCCACCAGCAACTCAGGAGAAGTTCAGTAAGTTTCAGGAGCGGGATTCGAACTCACGACCTCCGGCTCAATATCTTTCATAGTAAATCTCTTCGTTTAGGATTCCCTAAATTATACGGCACTTCCGGATAACATTTTAAAGAGTTAATCTTTGTGTAAGGTATTGGTTGAGATAAAAAAGTCAGTTTCACGAGCGGGATTCGAACCGACGACCTTCGGCTAAATATGCCGCTGCTCTACCACTTGAGCTATCGTGAGTTCGATCCACTCGGACTCCAACTTCCTATCTCACCCCCCCCCTACAGCTCTCCTTGGCCGCTTGATATTTCGCCGAGAATCTAATCCAGATTACAAGACATTTGAAAAATGCCTAAAAGGAGGGAAAATTCGAACGGTTGTAGGTTTAAATGAAGAGTTGGTGCCCGAGTTGATCGAAGTCACGATAGCTCAATTGGTTAGAGCAGCGGTCGTGGGTTCGAATCCCGCTCGTGACACTATTTTTTCATCTCAACCAAAAACCTTAGATAGAAAGAATAATTAATTGGTAATTATTGAATTGAATAAACATCTGGAAGATGTCGGGTAGTGTAAAGGTTACTTTTTGACATTCGTTATTAATATTTTTTCTTATTTAAAAGGGATGTTAAAAAACAGACATTGTTATCATGTGTGACAATCCAATTGTTTGATCCGAGTAATACTTTCGGAACAGTTATCTTTCAAAATGATAGTGAGCGATGTTTTACGAGAAGTTACCATAAAATAATAAAATTATCATGGTAGTGCAAGTTTCTGTTAATTCTGTAGAGGTTTTACTTCTACTATAATGCCTAATGTTCCTGCCTTTTAAGCCGTTTACTTTTTATTGTATTAGTACCGTTTTAAACCGTCATAAAAGAAATTTCAAAGTGGGGGGTCATCATCAGGAAGGTCTTTGCCGTCGACCTGTCAACCGTTCGCGCCTGCAAATGCGTGTACAAATTCCAAAAATCGGTATCGTTTTTGGCGGTGGTCCGCGTCGTCGGCCAGGTAGGAAAGAGCAGAGGCCTGTCCAGGTGGTGGTGGGATGTGCAGCCGGTGGGGGAAGGAGTCCGACGGGTTCTTCGGCTCTGCATTCCGCTATTCACCTTCGGGCCCTTTCCGGGCGAGTGTCTGTTCCATCCTGGCCCATTACGAACGAGAATTTCCGACAATGAAGACGGCCAATTTGCAGCTGCCCCCGCACGCGCAAGTGGATACCAAAAAACAGGTAATTCGTCAAATTGTTTCTATTCCAAAAGATCGGCGATGATTTCCCTAAGAACAGACCTGGCTCAACCAGGTAAAGATCCGGTCGTCCTAAAGTTACATCCTTCAATAGAACACCTTTCCTACCCCTTAATGACTTTTAAAAACTCGTATAATTCTATCATAAAAGTACATTTTTTTCAGAACGAAATATAAAATACTGCAATACATAGCAGAACCACTCGATTATAGCATACGATTTTTTTTTTCAAATATCATTTAAACATAAATTTCTACAAGCATAAAAACCATTTCAACATTTGACTTTATATTTTTAAACATACCTTTAAAAAACGCGCGTAGAATTTTGTTTTCTTGCGAGTTTGAATAAATTTAGGCTATTCGAAAAGTGAAGGCTCAAAATGAACTATCTTGACCTAGGATAATCTTTTATGAAAGTACTCTTTTTAAGGTCAAGAGACCAAAGAAAGGGAAATATTTAAAGGTTAGATGAATTGCTCGATTGCCGTCTGGAGTGGTTAAATACACGTGTTTATTTTTTTTCTTTAAGAATAAATAACGCCTACAGATATATTTTCCTCGTTTAAAAGAACACATGGACATTTTATAAGCTCCTGTCGCATGGGCGATGTGCAATACCTTTTGGCCGAGCTGATTTCTCCCAAAGACTTATATTACACCAGGTGTTTTAAAAATGCGCTAATATTTTTCTTCTCTCATGGTATAGATTCTAAAATACTGTTGGAAGTTAATATGTTTAGATGAATGTTAAAATACCGAACATTGCTCAATGTTTGTAAGAGAATAAAAAAGCTCTTCTAAGATCAAAAGTTGAAATTTATTTTCCACCAACATACCAAACAGAAAACCAAATCAATTTTTTAAAATTCACCCAGATTCATATTCAAATTTATCTTAAATATACTTCATATATTATATCGATGAAAGGCTATAAATGGAAAATTGCAGACTGAAAGAAAAAGAGAATTATATTTGTCGGTTTTTAGGCGAACTGGTGGTCGAAATTTCTTTCAGCTTGGCCCAAAATTTGGCATTATTTAGCACCTATAGGTGCAAAAAAGCGCCTAGCATTACTTCAATTAGTATTGCACTAATTGTCTTTGAAGGTTCCATTTAAATTTTTGAAAAAAAAAACGCTTAATGTTGTCAAAATTCTGTTTTAAATTTTTAAAGCAAAATTTAATGAGATATTTTATTTTAAAGAGGTCCAACTTGAATCTGATACTGAAAAATTATAGTACATTTCTCTAGTAATTTTGTTTGTGGCCCTGCAGTCAGATTTTAATAACTTTTTATTACAATTTTTTCAGCAGCCATAAGATATAAAAGTCATTAGAAGGCACAATATGCCTCATTCGAATAAAATTTATGGCTCTTTGTTTAAGTACTTTCCTCAAAATTCATTCATTTAAAGATGAGATGATCGACCTGCTGTTAAACAACTTGGAAAAAGGATCATCTGTGAGGTCACAACAGAACGACAATTCTTCAAGTTTTGCCGAGTTTTCGACGTTTATATCGTCATCATCAGGGCCTATTTAGGAAAATGTAGCAAAATTGTAGGAAAATATAGCAGTTAGAACAGATTGTTTAATTTAAAAACAAAATTAAAAAACAATTATATTTTTCTTTCTTTAACTCGATGAGTGTTGATATATGTCTTGAGAAAAACTGCATTTGTGATAAAATTATTTAAAATTAGGTGAAGCTCAGTCTCTATATATTAACAAGATAAAGTATGGAATTAATTAAAAACAACGTAATGTAAAACTTTAAATTTTGTTGCTTTTAATTTTGTTTTTAAATTATACAATATGTTATATTTATACTGTTATATTTTCCCATAATAAATAGGCCCTAATGATGACGAGATAATCGTAGAAAGCTCGACAAAAACTTAAAGAATTGTCGTTCTCTTGTGACCTCACCGAAGATCTTTTCCCATTAAAATTTTATATGTTGTTTTTATTTTTAATTAATTCCATAAAACATAAAGAATTGTCGTTCTGTTGTGACCTCACCGAAGATCATGAGCATGCGTTTTACTAACAGCCGTAAAAAAAGGATGTATTCATTTCATTGAACGTTGATATAAAATATATTATTTAATGTCGGATAGTTATTAATTATATAGTTTATACAAAAGTTTTAAAATATTAAAAAATAATTCCCTTATGTCACTTCAATACGTGATACAATATAATAATTTTAAAAGGTAAAGATTCAATATCCGAGGCAGGAACTCGGCTCCAGAAGGCTTTTACCTTGTCTGATATTTTGAAATTCCTTCGCCTATTTCCCAACCGCCACTCGCCCTTTCACCGACCCTTCTATTCTTCTCGTACCCTCCTTGATTCGCCTCTCCCCTTATGGCAGTCCGCTTGCCAATATGGACACCGATAATTCAGTTTAAATTCGCCCAAACGATCTTTTTCCCAGAGGAAAATTTGATTTTTTTACACCCACTCGGATATCTCGTGTAGCCGGTGAATCACGGCCGGGACCTTCAGTGCAGTAAGATACACCCACGTCATAAAAATAAATTCGTTTCGTTATTGGTTTCGACCTTCTAACTAGAGAGGTTAGCAAATAATAATCTGGTCATCTTCGAATTATTTAGCACCGAAAGCTAAAAAGGATTTGAACAATGATTCGAAGGACGGTTGGTAAGCCCAAAGAGGTGTCTAGTAACGGTCACTCATTCAACCTAAGTTTTTTCTCCAAGACCAAAAACCATAGATTTTCACTAATTATGATCATGCGGTTGCCATAAAAAATTACCCAAATAGTCAACAAGATTAGTCATAATTAGATTCTTATATTATCACTAATAATTGCAATAAATCTCTGCATGAACAATGAAACAAGAAGGATAGTAACTTGAAGCTTTTTGTAACAAAAAACATGATTGAAAAAAAGTGGCGGTGTCAATGGGTGGCCGTCGGAGGTTCTGACTCGTAGAAGAACGGTCATCCTCACCCAATTAAGGATAGGCCATACGAGGTTGACCCGCGGATACTTATTATTCGGTCATTTTTGCGAATGTATCTGGCATGTGGAGAAAGATTGCTCGGAATTGAAGAGTGCAATTCCTTGTTTCTATATAGAGAGCGTGTAGGAATGCCATCCGATATAAGCCTCATGCTTAACACAGCGGCGAGTATATGAGTCTCCTGTTCCGATTTTTGTATGAAACAGGACTGTTTATAAGATTATAAGTTGGACTGTTTGTAAGAAGGGATGTATATAAGATTGTTAGTTTTGTGTCCGTAGTGTATGTTGAGAGTGAATGTATTTATTAGCGTGAAATTGTAGTTTGTTGTAGGGCTGATGGTGGTATGAGTACCCTATCGACCTTCAATTAGATAGGGTGATGGAGGGATATCGACTATACCACCACACTAATTGAGATAATGCTATGGAATAGGAAAGAATGTACTTAAGAATGAGTGAGACTTTGAATGGATTTGGATGTAGGAACTGCAAGCATTGGGTGATGAATCGAACTAGCTGTTGACAGCTGTCGGAGCCCAACAACCTCGATGGCTGCACACAGACCGAGGTATATCCCAAGGGTGGGTGATTCTCAAGGTGCCAGTAATTTATTGCAAATTACAGAATCTGGAATTGCCGGTGGATCGCGAGAAGTGATAGACATTGCACATGTATGTATGTATGTACATACACGTGCATATTTGATCTTATATAAATCCAAATTCAAACTTGAAGTTTTTATACTTTTTAACAATTCACGTAGTTAATTTATTCTTTAATAAAATAATTATTCTTTATCCATGCAGGATGATTCAAAAACTATGCTCGAAGATCAAAGTGCATATGCTAATTTGTGACTTGTAACACGAAAACTGTTCGGTAATAAAAGTATTGGAATTTCTAGTTGGGCAAACTTTACCATATCTTCCATCTAAAGGAAATAAAAAGAGTTATACAGGGTGATTCACAAAATATGCGCGAAACTCAAGGAGATTCAGCTTATTTGCAACAAAAAATATTCTATACATTTTTTTAAAAATTCTCTCTCTAAGCAGAGTTCTAATTAGTTATAATTCGGTAATCGTTAAAATGAAATACTTAAAGGAATCATTTAAAAAAACGTGTTTGTCACTATATAATGGGAAATTTATCCCTCTTTCTAATAATGCTATCCGATTTGGTATACCTTAAAGAGCAAAAAACCTATGACGGTTTTAACCTAAAAAAATCATAGTTTTTGAGAAAAGAAATTAATTTATAAATATCTCCGAAACTATTGAGAATTTTTAAAAAATGTATAGAATATTTTTTGTTACAAATAAGCTGAATCGCCTTGAGTTTCGCTCATAGTTTGTGATTCACCCTGTATAACACATTTTATTTCCTTTAGATGGAAGATAGGACCTCTGTAAAGTTTGCCCAACTAGAGATTCCAATATTTTTATTACCGAACAGTTTTCGTGTTATAAGTCTTGCGTTATGGCATTGTTATATCTCGACTCGGGTTATTAAGGGTTTATGACTTAAAAAAAGCCCATAAAGGGAGATAAGAGATTTTTTCTGTTAAGAAACGTTTTATTACGGGGGTCCAGTCCGGACAAGGGGATTGATTCCATTGAATATTTATCAAGGGCCGAACTAACCTAAATTCCTGGCGTGTCAATGCTAATCGACTCAAGCCCAGCCTCTAGGACTTTCACGCAAAGCTCAAACGTGCTTATTCGGAATACCGTGGGGGATTGAGAACAATAATAGATGATTTATGGAATCGGCATCAAAACAGGAGGAATAGACGTGATGATCCGTTACCCTTTGTACAAATGCCTAGAAATCTATGTCAGTCCGATATATATCAAATACTTAAAGAATATTGTATAAAGTAATATTAAATTTCAGGTTTCCTTTTCGTTTTAGCCAATAAAAGTTTGATTTCAATTGAACCCTTCAGAGTTTCTTGGAATCAGTAGCGATGCCATTCGTTTTGTG